AGGGAAACACCGATCAAATAATAAGATTTCTGATCCGAAACTGCAGAGGCCATGGAGAAGGAACCAGCACAATATTCTTCAAGTGCTGAAAGAAAATGGTTAACTGTGAATTCTATATCCAGCAAAAACATCCTTCAGGGATGACGGGGAAGTAAAGACATTCTCAGATGTTGGCAACTAAGAGAATTTGTTGCTAGCAAACCTACCCTTAAAGAACTGCTAAGGGAAGTTCTCTCTAAAAAACAAAAAACGAAATAATAGCACAGAGCCAAAAGGTGGCTCGGAACTCCAGAAAGGGCAAAAGAACATGGAATTGGGTAAAAACAGTGGTAATCATATTAGACCATTCTCATGAGTTTCTGAAATCCTTTGAGGGGTGAAGGAAAAACTTAAGACAATTCTATTTAAAAGTTGGGAGGGTAAAGAGACCTAAATACACTTCACTCCAAGTGGTAAAAATGTTATTACCGGTGGGTGGTCGTGTTGACTCAGAGCAATCACCAAGAAATCAATACAAAGCAGTACACTCAAAACCTTAGCAATAAATCAAGATGGAATCCTAAGAAGTGTTCTAGTAACCCAGAGGAAGGGATTACCGAACCAGGATCGTTTGCCCAAAGCACAGCAAGCTAAACGCTGAGATGCCATAGTTTGCAGCAGAGAAAAGGCTTATTCACAAGGCAGCCAAGCGAGGAGATGGGAGAACCAGACTCAGACCAGCCTCCCCACCGACCCCGCCTTTGGCGGGGGGCTTGAGATATTTATGAGATAAAGAAGCGGGGTGGGCTTAGGCATGGGGAAAGGTGATTAGAGGTCGGGAAAAGGTGAGGTAAACGGTGTTCTGCGCAGGCATGTCTGAGTTACATGCTTCCTCATGGGATGTGTGTTCAAAAATGTTGGCGCTTCGTATGATCCGAGGGTGGAGTTTTGGGCCCCCTGACGTCAAAAGGTCACTCATCAGACACCTGCACAAGCCCAGTTTTAGGGTCAGTGGTGCCAACTAGTCTTAGCTGGCTCGAGCTTGAACTAGACACAGCTGACTCCAACTCTCTGGCAAACAGCTCGGGCAAACATCTTATTGTTTGGGCTACGTGAATCTTGGAGGGTATGCAATTTGCAATAGCATAATTAAGTGAAGGCAGGCTACAAGCAGAGGGATTTTTAACAAACTGTAAGGCTATAGCCCAAGAATTTCTGTTAGACACCAGTTTCTCTTAACCCTATGGGGCACGGTTTCAAAGGTGAGAAAAAGGAAACAGAGGAAACAGGAAACAATAAAATGGCAGACTTAAGATGGAACATATTACCTTAAATGTAAACCGACTACAAATGCCAATTACAAGACAGAAATTGGAGGATTTCTTTAAAAAACAACCCAGCTATATGCTATCTTCCAATACACTATGTGCACATTTCAAATATGACATAAGTAGTCTGAAGGTAAACACATAGGAAAAGATACACCAGGCAAACATTAAATACACAAACACACACAATTTAGATACATGGGTTTATTTCATTCAGGATGAATTTCTTCAGTAAAATTTCTTCAGTAAAATTTCCTAAAAGTAAGATTTCCCCTCCCTGTGTTCTACCTCTCATTCCTTCCTTCCTTCCCCCACCAACCCGTGGTGTCTACCCTTCTGTTCTTTTCTTTATGGCTTATAACCCCATAAAAACACATATTCACTTATCTATGTACATACCAACGTGCACAGGTATACACGGGAAGGTGCCATTGCTTTCTTTAACAAAAAAGGGGGGATTCATTTTATAAAGGCACCTCTGTATTTTTGTTGTTGTTGTTCTGTATTTTTTAATAAAGTTTGTAATCCAATGGACACAGAAAACAAAACTGCGTTGAGAAAAACAGTTTCATAAATTAATAAGTGTTAGGAAGTTGGGGGAGAGGTCAAGGTCACAGGAAGAAGGGAAGCCAGTCTTCTGTAGAGTCTTTTTGTTGTGTGTGACACTTCAAAATTGCGGGAGCAGGGACCGTGCTGTAAGGAAGCGCACTTGTACAAATGAGTGACAATACAAAGTCTGAGTATGAAAATAAGATTTTCTCTGAAAACACATTTTTGGCACAGATTAAAGAAAAAAATGTATGTCGGGGAATTTGATTTTTAAGTTAGTATTATGTATATTTATATATATTATATATTTATATATACACACATCCCAAGTTCTGCATATTCCACCAAGAGAGAAAATCCTTCTGTTTGCTCTCTTCTGATTGTAAACTGTACATCCTGGGTGAATCAAAGATGGTGGCAGCAGGTGAATTAAGAGAGGTGACATCCAAATGAGCAAGGTGGAGGGAGGGGTGGGGACAACACAGCCCAATGAAATGTTCCTTGACCCCAAAGTTTCAGCAGAAGCTTGAAGTCCTGCGTGAGAGTCTGCGATGTGTGTGCCAAGTGTGTTCACGTACACCAAGACATCCAGAGTGTCACAGCCTGTCTTCACTGTGCAAAAGTCCAAGTCACTAATTTAGTGCAAAGGCGGTTCTGTTTTGTTTCTTATAAACAAAAACAACAATTTTTTTTGAAGAAAAAGTATTTATTTGACACCTTTACAAAAATATTTAGGCACATAATTTTCATATTATGTCACCTGATTTACATATCTCAATCCTCGGTACCTTTTAAAAGCACTAAAATGGTCATTTGGTAAATAGAGTCTGTATTGAAAACATACTGCGATAGGCCGACATTTGTAGACAAACTCAGTTGATCATCAGCACGAGAAAGAAACATTTATGAACAAAATAATCTCTAAAAAGATTTTTGTGAGACAAAAAATCTAACCAGTAGATTTCTTTTTAAAAAGTATTTTCACAAACGCAAGATTAGGGCTTCCCTGGTGGCGCAGTGGTTGAGAGTCCGCCTGCCGATGCAGGGGACACGGGTTTGTGCCCCGGTCCGGGAAGATCCCACATGCCGCGGAGCAGCTGGGCCCGTGAGCCACGGCCGCTGAGCCTGCGCGTCCAGAGCCTGTGCTCCGCAACGGGAGAGGCCACAACAGTGGGAGGCCCGCGTACCGGAAAAAGAAAGCAAGCTTAAAAACAAAACCCACCATAGAACACCTCCTGATACCATGATGAATTGGTCTCCTAACAGTAAGAACTAGAAGGTAGGTTTAGAAAACAGCAATGGTGCCAGAGGTTCACACACACCAACTGACAAAAGCCTGGACACGGAGGCAGCATGAAGTTGATGCATTTAATTCGGAGAAGGGAATTACTGCCCACTGCCCTGTTCCTTTTCTCCAAAACGAGGAAAGAGAAAGCCAGCCTCAAGGTGTCTGCAAGTCCACTGGTTGGTGGTCTGTCCTTGGGCTAAATGTCAAGTAAACATACTAGCAGCTCCACTGCCCAGGGGCATCTCTGTATTTTCCACTTCTCTCCCAGTAATATTTTGAGAGAGTTCCACCCCATCGATGTGGAAAAATTCCCTGTATGCATAATTTATTCAAATGTGATTTTACTGATGGCCATTAACTTTGTCTCCAATATTTACCCCCAAACAGTGCTATAAACAGCGTTGAAAGTAGAAACAAATAGAAACATCACAGTAATCAAGCCCTGATTCTTCAGCTCCCCCTGGGAGCAGCCTCTTCACAGAGCCTTAAACAGATGGCGATTTCTGCTGCTGACAGGCTCCATGCGCCCAGGACAGGGGGTGCATTCCACTCAGCTGCCCGGCCCCATAAAAGCACAGTGATAGCCCTATGGTGCCATCCCAGGGGAGGATTTCGTGACCTCAGAACAG